AGTAGAGTTGGACTCTTAAGCGAAAAACATTCAAGTATTTTTATTTGCAGTATGGACGGAAAATTCAATGTTCAAACACCTACCAAAAAGATGCTCTAATGAGTATTGTGGAAATGACAATTGATATGATGGCGGAACTCAGCAATAACGAAACGACAATTGAAACAATTAAAGTAATCGACAAGAAATTTGAAGTAAAAAACACTATTACAGTGAAACTGGACATTTCAAAAGTCTCGGGACTTGATTATTCAAAAACATAATCCCACTTTGCTATTGGGACCGAATGTGAATATGTCGTTCTTAATAAAAAGGGAAAGAAACTCAAATCTAGTCAGAGGTCATCTGGAACGCAAGTAGGGAGTCCCATGGTTTCAGGCAGAATCAGCCTGTTTGTACCAAGGCAAGTTATACGTTGCCTCCGCTTACGTAGTCATACAATTTTTAAAACAGATAGAAAACCGGAAAGGAAACACGAAACTGATGATCTTATAGAGAACTGTCTTGGTCTCTGTGTAATAGATCGTGTGTTTGTCAATTCTTTGAATTCACTTAATCCTGAAGAATCAACAAAGCTAGGTTTCCTGGCTCTTTAAAGCTTAGAATAGTGTACAATAAAGAGTGACATAAAACAGTGTTTCAAATCTAAATGAATATAAGAGGCTAATCAAACGTTTGTTTAATTTCATAATATTAAAATATTACCATCATTTAGTTTGTCAACGAATTAAACTCTGATGTAGTTGTACAATAACCAGAAACAGGCAACGTACTGGCATGACCTAGCCTACTTCCGGTCTTTCGCGTCTTAAGTTTGCTTACTTGAAAATAAAGAAACAACATCTTAACTTAATTAACTTCCAAATTTAACGCAGGACACTTGGAGATATAACTCTAAGAACATATTAAGCCTTATTATATTTGTTTAGTAAAAAGGACGCTGAAACTTATTAAGATGTGCAGTTTGTTTTAATTTGCGTGTTTACTTTGATAAAGTAGCTATGGTATATTTTACGAAGTTTAGCTATGGCATAGTTTAACAAGTATTGCTATGAAATATTTAATCATGTATTATAGCTTTTATATATTTCATTTTGTATATCTATGATACATTTTATATTATATAGCCATGATGTATTTATCGTATATAAAATCATGCCCATCTACAGCATATTTTATCATGTATATAGTCGTCTAATATTTTATGCCTTATTCACAAAACTAAATAATCGCATTTATTGTTTAATATGCATTCAAAAATAATCTTGAAAAATATACACTGTGAAATACACTGCAAACTTTAATTGATAGCATGAAGAAATGTATGTGCAAAGTACACTATCTTTAAAACTTTCGTTTTGAAAGTAAAACACATTTCTCAAATCGATTAGTTATTACTTTTTTGCAAGCAATTTATGTAATAAAATAACAATTAGGTATCAAAACAATTTAGACATAATTCTTTTGATAATTTCTTGAAAAGTGATCCCTTGAAAGCATAAAAGCAACAAAATTACATGAAAATTGCTAATTGGGTTTGATTGAGTCTGTACATGATGGTTAATGAAAAGTGTGCTTTAAAAATACTTAAGGTTACTTTCAGATCGGTGGGGGTATAGGGGCGGCTTGAACTGTGACTAAACAACGTGTTGAACACCTTTTTCATTTTATAGGTAGGTAGGTCTACATATTATAAGTCCGTGCATTTTGCGAGGTCCCTGCTTTTCATATCTATTTGGTACCGCCCATTGTTATATAACTGTAATGCTTTTGAAACGCGGAAATAAATGCTCCGTCTAAAAAGTGTTTTTGTTTAATACAATGTCGTTTAAAGCATTACGTGTTTGTAAATAAATATTTGGTAAGTTTTTATTTGGGTAAGTGTTTTGCATGAACACATTATTGTTTCATAGACTACACACAATGGCCCTTGATCGTTGCTTAGGATTGCTTATTACAGAATCTTTGATTGATATGAGAATATTTCGGTATAAAAATGGAATTAAATCTGTATTCAGCTTTATATCATTATTTGATTGTCATATTATTTAATTTTTGTTAAAGTACGTTGTTGGGTTATTCGATACATGTAGTTTACATTACACGAACTAAAAAGTATATTTGTGTTTTTATTTCGTCGAAAACTTTCGTTAATCACTTCCGATATCGTTATAAAAGGTATACCTTAAATCGATTTAATACCATACAAGCCCCGACAGATAGGATATATAAACATTAACACATTTTTATATCTTGTGAGAGTTTACAGAAACGTGGAAGTGGATGCACATTTTCGAATTGTTTACCATAGTTAATGAATTGTAAAATTTTTTTGCTGCAACGTGGAAATTATAAATTAAGGTAAATAAATATATTATGTTGTTGTTTTTCCTTCGGAAAATTAATTATTGAAAGCTTCGAAATGCATGCTTGTTTTTGTACATTAACAAGAGTTGATATTTCACTGTCGTGTGAAATAAAATCAATGTTTGGGGTGTGTTTCATAATATTTGATCGATTTATTCTGCCCCGTATTGTTGTATTGTCGTGTTTATAGCTGTTGGGTGCGACTGACTAGTCCTGTTTGTACAAGGACGCATATAAGTTAGACACAAGCCAAGAAGATGCAATTTGCAGAAGCTCGCAAAATAACTAAAAGTTACAATTCGTTTTTCATGACAACTTCCGCTAGTTTATAAATCATGTAGATAATTTACAAATTCGATCGTATGAGTGTCACACAAAGAATTTTTAGCTTTACTTCAGTTGCAATTGAGATAAAGCTCAGACACCAGTTTCTTAATAGATCCGACATTTCCTAGTGTATGGAAGTTAAGTAGCTTTACTGATACATAACATCTAGTGAATCTCGAACCGAGTATAAATGGAAACAAGTTCATGAAATTCATCACTTAGCTATGAAGGCACATAATTGGAGAGTATTATATGGTTTTATATGTTATATATATTTGTAGGGGCTTTTTGTCTATGCAAGATCAACAGTTTTAGAGAAAATGATAATTTTCTTATCTTTAAAGAAAATCCCGTTAACGAAAAATTGATATCTATTTCCTAAATAAAGATTAGAAATAAGGAGACAAAAACTTACTGGTACGTTAAGGTCTATATTTAAGCTTGTGTTTCTCCTAAAATAAACCAAACAAAGTTTAAAGTACACACGTGTCAATCATCCCGTATAACTTTAAAGTGAAACTATTTCAATCTGAAATTATGCTCATGTGTAGTCGTGTCATTTTTCTGAAATAAGACGACTTTTTCATGTTCAATATGTTTTATTATGGTATATAAGCAATCATCACCACCAAGGACATCAACAGTAACAGCAGCAACAACAATAACAACACAACAACACAATACTAATAAAGAATCATTATGATAAATCAACATCATTCATTATTTTACATGTATTTTGTAAATAAGCAAACAATGCCATTGGGAAAACAACTTATGAAACAACTGTAGCATAAAACAACATTATCAGCCTTAACCCCTAACGTGTAATTCGTCTGTCCGGTCACACATACGGACGTAACAATGTACAACACGCTGAATAAATGTTCATTTTCTTTCAGCATAAAATCTATTTGATGTAAAACTAAAAATTCTTTTTAAAGTTATCTTCATACTTGAGTCGTTATTGTCATGTAATTAAAATACAATAATGTATGACGTTTTGTAATTAGGATAATTAAACATATCTATGTACAGACTCAATCAAACCGAGTCTGCAATTCTCTTGCAATTTTGTTGTGATTAATGCTTCCGAGGGAACACTTTGTTTCCAGATTGTTTTACTACACAGCTGAGATTACTTGAAAAGGATTGCTTAGTTACAAAATTGTTGCAACACATTAGGGATTATTTAGGTTTGTTCCTACATGGATTAGTTAAAGCTGCATGCGAAGCAATGGAGGAGATAAGTTACATTTTTCTGTTGAAGCTTTAAAGCTGCACGCATCAAGATGAGCCAAAATATTTCAAGAAAATCAATGTTGAGAAAAATATATACGTTATACGTTATGTGCGGTTTGAGACTGATTCTGCAGTATTTATCACCATACTTCTACTGCGTTACAAACTCAATAAGGACTTATTTTGCATCTACTGGCAACGGTTTGGTACTTTTCTGTGATTGTAACTGCCGATTGCAATATGTAAATTACGTTATTTGTCCACCTTACAATATTTTATTGTTAATTACATTTCTAAAATTTTCATGAAATTTAACATGAATCTGGAGGCGTGCTGCTTTAGGCCGACTTTAAATCAATTGTCAGTGTAGGTACCACTTCCGACATTGACATGTCTAAAAATGCACAAATGGTCACGTGGTGTTCTATTGTCAATGTTGGTTCAAGTCCTGGCATCTGCATATCTGGAATATCGCTCAAAGGGTCTGCAATAGTTAAGCGGGAAAATGGCAATTTAAACTCTACAGTGACTGTGTGACTGGAATAAACATTAATTTTAACAAATTTACAGTTTCCATTTATTTTAAAGTTTCATTAATGCAATAATAACTAGAGTATGAATCCTCAACGGATTATTTGTTTGGTATCCATGCTGTAGTTGATATAGCATTTATCATGTTTCAAGATTGATAATTTTAATAAAATTTATAAAAATCAAGGATATATTGCTTAAATAAAATGTGTGCTTAGCTTTATATTACTAATTTGAGAAGCATTTTAAGTGATGCAAAGTGGACTTTAGGTTTATTAGATATCATATATCTACATTAAAGTATTTTTATTTCGTTGAGAACGTTCGAAAATCACTTCCTTTATTTATGTACCTAAATTGATTTAAATATCTTAGTACCTTAAAACAATAACAAAATAGATACAATAGAAATAAGGGCAAAGAATGTCTCAAATGACAAAAAATCAAACAAATACTAGATAAAGCGTTAACTTGATTTACAAGAATACAAATCCCGACAAAAAATATAAACCTTTATAAATTTCACAGATCTTGTCAGTTTACATATTCGCGGAAGACAGTGCAGTTCTCCAGTGGATATAATGACATTTCATAATATTTTTAAACCTATTTCTGTCTAAGTTCCTCAAACTATATATCATACAACGTGGAAATAATACATAAAGGTAAATTAATAATTATGATTTAATAGCAATTTAATAAAATTAATTTCTCATGACTGTGAGATATTGCTTTGTTTTGGATTATCTTATTATAACAGCAGGCTGTACTTTAATATCGTATTAAATATTATCCATGTCCAGGGAATGTTTCATAATGTTTGATCGATTTTGTACAAAGACTCATTCCAAAAAACGTAAAGAGGTGACTTTGTGTCAAGCAGATTTCATCGGCAGAATCTTGCAAAAAAATGCAAAAGTTACGAATTTTGTTCAAAGATAATTTCGAATAATTTAAAGCTACTAAAGTAGATCTCCTCAAGCTTTTAATTGTTGTATGTCATCGCATTTGCGCATATATGCGTGCTTGCTTTTGTTGTTTGGTAGCTAATATAGTAAATTTAAAAAAAGTTTCTAGTTAAAAACCACTTGTCCAATTTCAACCAAACTGACTAGGGTTGTTAAGGGTTCTTTCTTAAGACCCACAAGGCTTAAAGCAAATATATTTTTGCATAAGGCATTGTCTGGTAGACATCTTCCAAGATAGCGTCAGTTATAGTCCTGGGGTCTAAATTATCCCCTTTCCGTAGGGTTGGGTGTCATGATTTTCATTATGTATACAAAGTTAAATCTTAAAGATCTTCTTGTCTGAAGTTACAAGGCCTAAAGTTTTGGTATTGGATATAAAATATCATCTATAATTCCTCTACCAAAGTTGTTCAAATTTTGTCTCTAGTGTTAATGTTAGCCCCATCCAGGAGTCATAGGTTTATATTAATAAATAGTATATATATTTAAAAAATGAAAAACAATTTTCTTCTCTGAATTGCAATAGACTACAGGCTAGATATTTAGCAAGATATATTGAGTATTGGACCTCGACCAAGATTGCTCAAATTATAGCCCTAGAGTAAAAATTCGTCCCGCCAAAAAGGGGATCATTGATTTTCACTATGTTATTTAGTAAAAAAAATATTTTTTTCTGAAAAAGCAAAACCCAGAGCTTTGACATTTTGCACACTATATCATCTATATGTCCTCTACCATAGATGTACAAATTTTGCATCTGCTAACAAAATTGGCCATATCCCGGGTGTCGAAAATTTTCATTATAAGGTATGTACATGTAGTAAGAAAATAAAAAATATTCTACTCTGAAGGTAAGAAGTAAGATATTTGGCATATAAAATTGGTAAGTGGACCTTAACCAAGTTTCTTAAAATTATTGCCCTAAGGTATCAATTGGCTCTATCCCTAGGCCATAGATTTTCACTACAAGCAAGTATGGGAAAATTATCAACTGAAGCTTAAAAGCGCTAGAGCTTAGATAGATATTTGGTAAGAAACATTGTGAACCTTTCCAAAATTTGATTAATTTTGTCCCTAAGGACAATATAAGCTCCATCTTGCCAAAGATACAGCAATGAAATTTGGACCATATTCACAGTTTAAGATGTAAAAAATTAACTTTAATATCAGCTGATCTAGATTTTGATGGCGTGACCTTCTTTCTTGTTCTTTGGTGTACAGTTTTAAAATTTGGACCATGATCAACTGATCTCGATTTAGGCAAAATTACCGACTTTAATGCCCTTTGATGTTCTGAAATTTGGAACATATGGCCAGTTTAATATGTCAATAAATAACTTTGGTATCAGCTTACCTATATTTAGATGAAGTGACCTCCTTTGGCTTTCTTATATAGACCCTTTCATTTAAGCGATAACAGTCAGAGAAGAGTTATTTCCCTTACCGGATGTGACGTAAATGGGGGATAAAACTATACAGGCTGTTATTGAAAAGTTAAATGCTTAAATACTGATCGTTCAGTTATGATTATAACATGTAAAAATTTACGCATGCATACATAAATTCAGTATCAAGACAATAGAAAAAAATACAAAAACAAAGATTGAGATTAATTCTCGCTACGGAGTGAAACAGCGAAATTTCAAAGTGAACATATTTATAAGATCTAGATTTTCTCTAATACCAGGGTAAAAACCTAGTAACTAAATCAAATTTTAATATTTTATAAACACCCATACACACTGAAATTGCCTATTATAAATTTAAATGGCCATTTTCTTGTTTTCTGTGTTATTTTCCATCATTTAGAAAATCCCGGCGTTTTTGTGACAAACATGAAAATAATATTGCCAATGTCTTTTAATGCCTTAATAGAACAATAACAGAATGCATTCTGTCAATACTTCATGATTCTTTTTCATTATGCCGTAAAAAAATATAGAACCAGTGAATGATATAATTTTATAAATTTTCTGGAAAGAACGAAAACCATGTGGCATTGACTTTTTATCATTTTACATTCGTAACAGACGGTAATAAGATAAAGTTTGATATTAAAAATCTATGCTTATGGTTATAAAAATAAAGACCTTTTCCCAGTAACTTATTTCATAGATAAATAAATGTGTATCTATAAGCGCCGCGCCACTGGGCCGTGACATATTAATTAACAGGGTGCATTATGTTGTATATACAAGCGGCACTTGGCTGTGATATCATAAATCACCAGGGTGCATTCTTTAGAAGTTATAACATTACATCAGATTACGCCACTTTTGTTAGTTGTCAAAATATTTTTGGTCCGAATTTTGTTGTGGATCATCATAGGGACTTTATTGGTCATGCCTTACTGATTTGATACTCGATCCTGGCACAGTCAAAAATACGTAAAATTATAATTCAGTTAATGACGAATTTCTGTGAACGTGTTAACACAAGTATCAAGTTGAAAATATTACTTTACCAACTTAAATATATTGGTGTGATGTACGTTTTTTTGAAAAGTGCATTTTTTGTCGACATAAAAAGTATACAGTCATGTACATTCAAAAGAATTTTTACTTTTATGCCTTTTCATTTTATTTTTTTTGAAATTACATACTAATTAGATTTATATTGTTGTTTTGCTTTGTCTTAGTAATGATTAAATCAAAATGATTTCTAACAAATCAGTATCTTGCAATAAATTAATACGCAGCCGTTTTTCGAAACTACAGAATCCTTACATTTTTAAAACTCAAAATATCTTTTGGGTATTGTATATTAGCAGAGACATAGATACATTATCTATATCTCTGGTATTAGCAAGTGCGATTTAACTGCCTGGTAAAATTTTCATTATTAACAATCTAACAAAAATGGTAATCATGATCAGTTACAATATGCAATATGGTCGACTACTATCAAAACAAATCAATAACCTTATTATAGTTAACATTTTTATTCATTTCACCATCCTTTTTATGTAATATGTTATTCATTTACACACAATTTTGGCAATTTCAATCTGCCAATCTTACAAGACAAAGGATTAAGATCTTAATATTCCTCTATTATTGTACTTAATCGTATCGGCATTGTCCACCGTATCCCCCAATGACGTCATCCAAGGGCGACAACTTGAATACGGTCTTAAATGAAAGGGTCTATAAAGTAAGTTCATTTTGACCACGTTCACAGTAACAAGTGTAGAACTTACTGTTATATCAAATGACCTACTTTCTTGTTTTGGATGTACAGCTTTGAAATAAGGATCATGTATATAGCATAAATTGAAAATGAATTTTGCATGAAGTATGATCTAGTGACCAACATCATTCAAATTCTTATAATAAATACTAGCTTTGACTGCTTTGACACAAATAACAGTTTGTCTGCAAGTGCGCGTTTTTGGGCTAATGCCCCCCTTGTTTTTTTTTCTAAAAATGATATTCGGTATATGAGAGTTTTCTAACGGCCATGACCTCTAGCAAGAGATGTAGTTGTTTTTCAGAGAATCTTATGAAATGATTTGAGGTCATGACGTCTAGCAAGAGTACTAGTGTATTGCACGGATATTTTTCGAAGTTATTTGAGCAAATTTTAAGGGAATTATGATCACATCATGTATAAAATTAATGTATTTAATAATTAATGTCATTTTTTGCGTTTTCAGAAATTGCAAATGCTTAATTAAAAAGAAGTGTTTAAGTAAACTAACTGTTACTGTATTTCAAAGTTTAATTCAGCTATGTTATGCAGTAAATACTTAAATCTTTATTTCGTAAGAAAACTTTCATTTTGGAACCATTGGCATATTATTGCTTTTGTTCATTAACATTTGACACATTGGAAGATTTTCTTTCATTTGAAATATGACATGGATACCTAAATTCTCTAGACATAACTGCATTATTGCAATGTTTAAGGTTAGAAACAAACACAACATCTTTTGGTCCTCATATTTAGTGTTGGTTTATTGCGGGTGCATAGGACTATTTGTGAATGCAATTTTCTTGTATCTTTTTTTTCGAAAGCTGATAAAATATGTTCACATAGATATGAAAGTGTCGACAAGTGTATGCATAAGGAGATTAAAACAGGCCTTAGACTTTATCTTTAGCTTGAGAAATACGCAATACTATTGTAAGTTACGTGGTAGAATTTGGGGAAATTAGCTGTTGCGAGGTTTTGTTTAAACTGGTCTACAATCTATTCTCTTACAAGAAACATTTTAACTGAGAATATATTCAAGCATATTTATGCAGTATTAGCAGATTTTTCTATAGAACAAAGTCAACATAAACGCTTTTTATCAGCAAAAGAAAAATAATACATGTATTTCATGTTTGGCATATTTCTTTTTAGGTAAGCTTACAAAATGGAAAAGCTGCACAGTTACAGTGCAATGTGCTCAACCCACTCTGATGAAGTTGCAATAGCAGCGTGCGTGGGAACAAAAGAACTTCTTTGTTTCAAATGCAGTATGGAAAAAGCAAAGGCCTCAGTACCTGTTAAGGAACTTGACAAAATGTCTGAGGGAGGTGAAAAGCTCATACTTGATTTTCTAATGGAGAAGCAAAAAGCTCAGAGAAAGAACAACTTTATTGACATATACAAAAGGAAAGCAGAAGGTGCCAAGAATAAAGTAAGTGATCAAATTCATTGTTTTTATAAAGAACTTTCAGAACAAATCATTAAAATGAGAGATAACACACTTTTATCTTTGGAAGAAAAATACACTTTGTTTCTTGAAATGTGTAATAAAGACGAAGAGAAACTTAAGACTACAACACAAATGATCAATGAACACCTCGATAAGTTATCTTCAGCTAAAGGAGCTGATCTTGACAAATATAAAGCAGAATTGGATGAGATCATGAAAAAACTAGATGACATTGCTGATCATGAATCTTGTCCTGAAGCAGATTTTCATGCTTCAAAAAAATTGAAGGATGATATACTCATGCCAGAGAGCAAGATTGGAGAAGTTAATTTGTTTGCAAGTGATCATTACGAGAAGCTGGGGCCAACAGAAGGTGCGGAAAATTACAAAAATCCAAAGGAAACAAATTTTGAGGAAACACCGCCAACCATACCTCCGAAACCTGTAAGTAAGACAGTTGGTTCGGATGAAGTCAATTATGAAAAACCAAAAGTAATTCCACGTAAAAAGAGTAGCACAAGTAATGAGTCAGGCTGGCAAATACCTGAAGACAATCGGAAATCGAAAGGGGATCAAAACGAGTCGGCAAAAGAAGATAAAGAAGAAAAACCACGAAAAAAGTTTTTCCGTTGGAAAAGTAAACCAGCTAAACTAGAAGATAAGCTACAAGACTATGAAGAAGTAAGTTTAAAAAATGAAAATCAAGAACGGCAGGCAAGGTATTTAGTTAATAAAACAGTAACACTGTCCGAGTTTCCAGATGGGTTAAGTACCTCATTTAAATTCTCAAAGCTCATTCCAATCGGTTTGAGTAGAATTGGACTCTTAAGCGAAAAGCATTCAAGTATTTTTGTATGTGGTCTGGACGGAAAGATTCAATGTACTAACAACTACCCCAAAGACGCTGTTATCAGCATTATAGAAATGACAGATGATATGATAGCGGTACTCAACAAGACGGAAACGTCAATTGAAACAGTAAAAGTTACAGACAAGAGATTTGAAGTAAAAAATACTATTAACTTTAAACTGGACATTTCAAAAGTCACGGGATTTGATTTTTCAAAAACGAAATCCCACTTTGCTATTGGGACCGAAAGTGAATATGTCATTCTTGATAAAAAGGGAAAGAAAATCAAATCTATAAGAATGGAGACAAGTGTTGATTCTAAAGACATCTTTTCAATTTATGATTTTGAAAAAAACAACGTTTTCATTATCAATAAAACCACAAAATCTCTGAAATGCTTTGATGTTCAAAGTGCAGAGGTCATCTGGAAACGCAAATGTGAAGACCCATCGTTTCAGCCAGAATCAGCCTGTTTGTACCAAGGCAAGCTCTACATTGCATCTTCTCGCGCAGTCATACAGTTTTCAACAGCTGATGGAAAGCCAGAAAGGAAACACGAAACTGATGATCTTATACAGAACTGTCTTGGACTCTGTGTAATAGATAATGTATGTGCGATTTCTTCGAATTCATCCGATTCTGCAGAATCCAAAAGGCTTGGTTTCCTAGCTCTATAATGATTTGTATAAAATAGTGAGTGGTGTAGGTTTGAAGCAATGAACAGTGTGTCAAATCTTAATGAATATAAGAGGCTTATATTATTATATTTTATGTTATATTTTCGATCCTTGAAGATCGTTCAGCAATACATTATTGTTGTGCTTGTGGTATTTTTAGTTTCAACTTTTCGGCATTTTCTAGTTGGGTGGTTCCAATATTTCTACTTGAATAATGTTGAATCACCCTTAGGATATGTTGCCTGCTTTTTAAATTTGTCTTTTGACGTATTATCTGTGATACGCAGGCTTCATAACCTCTGATCCCCTTTCAAAATTCCATTTTATTTAGTTCCGCCCATTGTTTTCTCGTTTAGGGCACACGCTTTTTATTGCTTGGGGACCATACGCCGCTTTTCATGGAATGACACGGATGTGTCACATTGAAGGTTCCATATTAACCGCCATATGAACACATCTGCGGATGTTTCTTAATTCAAAATTTTACTATTTCACGTTTAAATGTTGAATTCTGCTTAAGCCGGTGCTAGGGGGCGTGGACGGTAACTTGCACTTTCCAGTACCGTCCATGAACAGGCTCAATCAAACCGAGCCTGCAACATTTTCAATTTTGCCGTGTTGGGCTTTCTTTAGGGATTCTGTATTTATCTATTTTAAAAATGAAGTATAATTAAGCTGTATATAAACAAGTTAAAGTAAACAAACTGGCACGACAAATCTACTTCCGGTCTAACGCACGTTATATTTGCTTACTAGTACTTCGAAATAAACAAATCTTAAACAACTTGCAAAATTAAACGCATAAATTCTAAGAACTTATTTGAGCCTTTTAATATTTGATTATTTCATGGCATTTTTAAAGGTTTGCAGTTTGCTCAAATCGCGTGTACTCTGTTTATTTAGATTTATTATTTCATCAGGTTCAGCTATGATATATTTCGCCATGTATAGCTATGGTATACGTTATCATATAATACATCTACGACATCATTTTCAACTATGATATATTTGAATTATCACACAAACCGCGGCGTGGGAGTGTAATAAGGCATTTAATAAAAACGATATTACACTAGTGTAAGAACACTGACGTGACGTCATTTGCGCTATATATTTATAGCGTTAAAGCGCGCTAATGCTAGCGTAACACTATAGGCGCGTCATTGAAAATTACTCATAATAGCAGTTTACTGTTCTTATTTTATATATATGATATGTATTCATGTAGATTCAATACTAAATTTATTGAACTCGTTGAATAAAACAATATAATGCTCGCCAGAGGCTCGCATAATATGATTTTATTCAACCCGTTCAATAGATTTAGTATTAAACTACTCTCATTCAATATCCTTTAAATATCAAGCTATGGTATATTGAATCTAGCGCAGATACGTACATGATATTTTAATATGTATATAGTGGTCCAATTTGTTGTGCCCGTCAATATTTTGTTAATCTATTCACAAAAGTAAACCATCGCTTTTCTTTGAAACGTACACTGAAAATGACTCTCAGACATTGATCTGATGACATGTACACTGTGAAATACAAACCAAACTTCAATTGATAAGGTGCATCGATATATGTTCTATAAACTCTCGATTTGTTATTACATTTTTAGTAAGCAATTAAGGTAATTAAATGACAATTATGTATTAGTTAAATTTAAACACAATCCTTATAACAATACTTCAGTTTATTTCAGATCGGTAAGGGTAAAGGGTGGCATTGAATATGACCAGTCAAAGTGCTTAACACGTTTGTCATTGCATAGGTAGGTCTACAAATTATGAGTCAGTGGATTCGAGCATTTGGCGATGTTCCTATTACATAACATTCATAGCTGTTAGGTAGTGAAAATTGTGTTCACCTGTAAAACCTGGCAGTTACTTACGAGCAAAAGTTAAAAGTGTGCATTAGTACAAAAACCAGGAACACTTTTCAGGTCAAACGCCCGCCGTTATACAACTGAAATTCTTAAAAAAATGTGGTGATAGTAATACTTGCTCCACCAAAAACGTATTTAGAAAAAAAGAAAAATGCATTATAACACGTTATCTTCTACAAACGCAATGTTTTAAAAGATAGACGTCTTAGATACCATGCTATTTTTGTGTAATGTGATGTCGTTAAAAGAGCTGTTTGTTTGTTTGTTTTCCACTCATGAGAAAAATGGCAATTGCTTGGTTTGGAGTAAAATTTTAATTTTGGTAAAGTGTTCTGCTTGAAGACATCACATACCATGACCCTTGACCGTAACTTGCTTATTACAAAATGTATTGATGAAAGAATATTTGTGTTTGATTATATGTTATTCCAGAACGATTGAAACAACAGTTGTTTCTGGTCAAAATTATATTTGTTATGGTGAGTATGAACGTGACAATAAAAAAATATATAGGCTATGTGATGTTATATTAAAGAACACACTATAGAAGTAAAAGAGACCTCCGATTTGTCAACAGTGAAGATAATAAACGGCACCTTTATAAAAGCGAAAAAGCAATGATTGTTCGACTAGAGATTAACCCTTACTCTTTAACTATTTCTGCAATTAGCACAAGCTTTCACTTATCTTTTAATTACTTTGATTATTGAGAAGTCAACTCTCGCATACTTAACTGTCCGATTGGAACAATCGGTAGAGCGTTTGGACGTAGGTCGGGACATCCAATTTTCGTAGGGACTGATTATGGAATCCTTTCATTCGCACTATATATTAATAATATATCGCTTTTGTAATTAAGTCATGTATGTACCCAGATAACCTTTTAGACAAAACCTTTTTTTCTAAATGTACTAAAATATAGACAGAGGACATTTTGATTTTGAGTAACAAAGTATGCGAAATTCAAAACGCAAATTGATATTGTTTTCAGTCACCCACAACGTTAAAAAATTATTCATTATGTGTTGAAAGTGCATAAGTCTTAAACCCCAGTCACACTAGAGGTAACGACTACTTGCAACCACCGGCGACTTGTTAAACTGACGATCATCAGCGATTGTCTGCGACCAAAACCATTTTTGCACAGATACATTTACTTATGCGTTTATCGTAAGACAAGTCATCATTGACTATCGCACGACAGGTCATAAGCAAACGTACGATGGTCTCAACATTGTGTGGGATTAATTACGACTACCCGTGACCTGTCATGCGATCACCTACAACTTGTCGTACGACTATCATACGATTACTAAAGACTACTCAAGATTATCAGTGACTAGTGGCAATTTGTAAAGACTGTCGTAAGATTGTCGCACTTACGAACGACCATCGTGCCTAAGACCTTATAAGATCACTAGCGACCTGTTTGATCGCAAGGAGGTTGTTGTGCAAGCTCAATAACCTCTCTACGGCTGAAATTGGTCGTGGTACCTAAATAAGACAAGCTGAGACTGTCAAAGATCACCAATGACCGTCGTAAGACGTTTTAAAGATTGTCTGCCACCAGAGGTCACTCGCGATCGTTAACTGGTCTTTACTGGTCGTAAGCTCTAATGTGACTGGGGCTTAAATGCTAAAAAAATTTTGAATTGGAATAATATATACTGAACGAAAACGAATTTTTTCCTGTGTTTAAGTGGAGATAAAGTGCTATTTAAATATTAAAAAAAATGTTAAATGAGCTTAATTTATTCGGACGAACGATTATGTGTCCGATAGAACAAATTTAAATTCGATTACTACTCGTTTCGCAGGAAATCCACGGAATTCCATTGAACATTTGTGGGATAATTTTTACCAGCCTGTTATACGTCGGCCTTTTTTACCGTCAAAAGTCATTCAGCTAAAAAGCCTTAATTGAGAAACAAGTAACATTCCACAAGCCGAAATCAATACACTGATTCGTTTTATGAACGATGTCAGGCAGTCCCTCACCCTGAAGATGTCCATACCCGATATTTATTTATGATTTTGTCAAATCGACCTCTTCTGCTTTCCACTACCATTTTCCATCTTTTTGATAAACCCGCAGCAATATCTTTTTCACCAAAATCGTAATCAAATACACTTTAATACATATAAATCTACTTTAATCCTGATTTTCATGTTTCTGTATATCTGCAGAGGAAGTTTCATTTTTGTTCACTTTATATAACGTAGCTAAAAATCGTTATTTCTTACTTAATTAATCTTTTATGTTTCTATTTATTGAATGCAAACAATGTCTCAATTGTATTATCTGTTTATCTATCCATAACAAAGGTGCATACAGATAATATTTGTACAACAGCGTGCATTATGTTTTTTTTGTTGTTTTTTTTTAAATGAGACGAAACAGGAAGATTTAATAAATATCTATAACAAAAAAAGCTTGTCATAAATCATATATTGCTCAAATGTCATTTAAATGGGCTATATCAGTTTAAATTATGATTATAATGCTTGATGCACACTATTAACCAAAATATCAGATACATTAGATAGAACAAATGTGAACCATAATTACATTATTTTTTTTATTATTTTATAAATTTTTGTATCAACTTATAATTTTGTATTTCAAATACATGAAAATAAGATAATATGAACCTTCTGTTAGATTGATAAAGACATTTGAATATAATATACGAAATGTGTTCTCTGTAATACTATTAAGTCATCCGTTATCTTAAAATATTATAAACTTATTTAACCGCCGAGGACAATTGATGTTCATTTGTCATCAGATACATTTGTTAAACGTGAACGATTTATTTGCTTTGTTTGAAACCTTTAAAACATTTGAAATGAACGATATTTATTTTCGTTTTTTTTTCTTTTGTTTGTTTTGTTATCACCATTTTTCCGAGGTGATTGCCTCTCTGTAGTATTTTTGGTTTTAATAATTTGTACCTGATAGACAAGTTAATTTGTATTAGTTAATCTGTAATGATTGAATATTAAACATTCTGTGAACAAGGGTTATTCATTATGATAGAATCATTTAACTTAACTTGTGTGTAACGTTTTGTTAGTATTGAAAGAAATGATTTTGAAACTAAATTAACATTTAGTTTACTGGTCTGATGAAATAATATTTGTCAACGCATTTATTTAGACCACGCAGGTTATGCAGATCGTACTTATTAACTTCCGTTTTAAGAATTAATAAAATATGTGTATAAGTCCACGAATGTTTACGCTCTTGCTTAAACATAGTGATTGTAATTCTTAAATCTATTATTCTTTTTTAGTTTTTAGTACATTGTTTATTATTATTCGGTTCAATAAATATAAAGTTTGCTTCAGTGGTGTAAGTATTAAATCTTGAAAAATAAAACTGGTACTTCCCATTACCTGGCAAGCCGTTGAACGTCATATATAGAAAATACAAAGCTTGAGTCTGGTATTATATGAACATCATTTAAGGCCGTGGATTAAAACTAAGGGCGAATATCTGCAGAGCATTTCGTATTTTTCATACTGAGCTTGATAAGACACTTATTTGGTATTTATTATGATTGCGTTTTTTGTTATGTTATTTTTTATTATTTTTCAAGAACCCCGGGCGCTGTAAATATAAGATAAGATAAGATAATTGTTTATTATAGTGACATATGCAATGAACATTTATACAGTACAATACATTTTAACAAAGAGTTATGCACCCGGCCCAATGGACCTATTAGTCACCTTTTATAATAAATAACATTAATCATATAACTTTACATGATATGACAGATAACGTGAGGGAAATGGTTATGGTAAAACAACACCAAATTATAAATATGATAGTATGCACATACTAGTATAACAAAAAATAGTTATGTGAGACATAATTTTTGTTGAAATGCAAAACCTAAATTATTTTCATAATTTAAGAGTAAAGTATACTTCGTCTAAACAAGTAAGCTTTCATTATATATTTGGCTGTCTTTCTTATGTGATCAGTCATCAACACACGTACTTTTTCAGAAATGGTTATATTCATGTCCTGAACACAGTCAATATTAACAAATATATCGTTTCTTATGTGTCTATAAATATCACATAATAACAAAAAGTGAGTCTCATCCTCCACTTCATTTCTTTCACAAAAACGACAAATTCTGTCTTCCACTGCTTCGCCAACGAAACGCCCAGTCTCAATACGTATAGGTAAAATGCCAATTCGGAACTGACATAAAAGTGACCGTTCATGTTTTCTTAAATTAAGTGAAATATAATCTTCCTTATCAAAGGTATCTTTAAACAGTTTATATGTACGAAGTTTTCTACATGATTGGAAATCGGTCTGCCATTTATTACAGTACATGTCACGTATTTTATCTCTAGCAGTAGACAGACTAACTGTTGCTAAGTCTGTAAAGTGCTGTTCTAAATTAAGATCACTAAAAATCTTTTTTATATTTGAAGACCAATTTTCACATGTATTGCATTTACCGTAATCATATAAGAACACTTTTTTGGTTAGTCTATCATCCGGCATTGATAACAACCTGTTCCAAAATCGTATTATAGGCAGTTTCTGTCTGAACACACTTGGTAGCCATCCTGAATCTCCATACATTGCTACGAGTGGTGCAAATCTATGTACACCAAAAAAGTATCTTAGCGCGCAGTGATAGACATTGTCAACACATTGGTACGACTTGAAGCCCCACGAGGAGGCACCATACTCCAATATCGGACTCACACAACTGCCTACCAGTTTTTCAAATGTGTTAATTCCAGTATCTTTCAGATTGTGAATTTTACAGATTATGCTCCCTAAAGCTCTTCCAGCACCTTTAGATAATGATTCACTATTAAGATTAAAGTTCATTTTATCATCAAAAACTATGCCCAGATATTTATAATGATCAACGGTCTCTAGAACATTTTCACCAACTCTGAAAATAAATTCACTGCGCTGTGTAGGTCTTCTACGAAAATGGACACATTTGGACTTATTAGTATTTACTAAGACGCGCCACCGTTTGCACCATTCATGTACAACATCAAGCATACGCTGCAAATTTATTTCTGAGTCTGAGATCAGCGCTATGTCATCCGCGTAGATCAATGTAGATACCATCATAGAACCAACGTTAATTCCAAGCCCAAGACTATCAATTTCGTGAATGAGGTCATTTGCAAACACGGACCAGAGCGTCGGCGACAGCGTACACCCCTGTTTTAATCCAGTAGTACAATCGAACCAATCAGTATGGACAAAAGAATTTGGTAATCCGCTATTATTTATGCGAACACAAGCCGATGCACTAGCATATATGTTTTAAATAGAATTATAAACTCTCCCATCGACTTTGTTAAGTAACAGTTTATACAAAAGTAAGTTTCTATCAACAAAATCAAAGCACTTTCTTAAGTCTATAAAAGCAGTGAATGTGTTTTTGTTGTTACGTATAATGCTATTAAGTGTAAAAATATGATCTTCACAAGACCTGCCTTTTCGGAAACCATTCTGTTCATCGGCCATAAGATTGTTTGATTCCATGTATCCAGAAACACGTTTGTTAATAAACGCAGTATATAATTTGTTAACGCAATACAGTAGACTGATTCCTCTATAATGTAAGGGTACTCGTTTATCAGTATTTGGATCCTTAAGAATTGGGAATATCATCGATTTACGCCAAATTGAAGGGATAATGCTACAATCAAATATCAATTGAAAAAGACTTCAACACCGCAATGACTGCTGGGAATTTCAATTCATCATACGGAATACGGTCAAATCCCTGAGCTGACCCACTTTTAGCTTTCATAATAATGCTGGAGATTTCTTCAATTGAAATATTTCGGTTCATTAATGCATTCGGGGTATATAACGGATCCTCATTTCTACGCTCTATCATTTCCTTATGGTTTAAACACTGCCTGTAATGTATGTCATCAAAATTACCAGTATCTGTACCGTTATATAATTTCTCAAAATCCGATTTCCATCTATTCAAAACTTCGTGCTCATTTCTGATAGGAGTTCCATTTTCATCAATAATTTCTATCGGTATAGAGGAGTCCTTTCGAGGCCCTAAACTTTTAATCTTTTGCCAGAAGTCATTCGGGTTAGAAGTCGATATTTCTTCAATCTCGATCGCCTTTGCATACCTATACGCTCGTTCACATTGTCTAAGGAGCTTATCAAAATTATTACGTGCACCGATATATTCGTTATGCAATGTCTGTCTATAACGGTTATTTTGATCACATTTTAAAAATGCCCTTTCCTTTGTATTCATATTATACCACAGGGACTGGAGTTCATCATTCCAATATGGTTTTAAGTGCTTTCGTCGCCTTTGTGTTCTACTAGATGCGTTTATTTGCGGAATTTTGTCGTGCATTTCTCGAGTAATCAGTTTGCATAGGTTATCATAGATAGTGTCAATTTCACTCTGCGTTTCTCTGCATCTCTCGATGCGATCAATCAAATTGAAGATGGCAGACTTAACCATATCGCTTTCCATGAAATCGTTAGGTATTTGTTTAAGCTTAAAACGTGGCTGTTTTGAAGTATGGTCTATATTGGCATGTGTTCCACAATCAAAAGAACTATTGTCCGTTATACCAAGGTCAAATTCTCCCAACAGCGCCGAGTGATCTGGTAAGCGTGATCGTTCACCAATTAATCCGTGTAAATTATTTTTCTCTACAATTTCAGTGATTGTTAATATTGTGAACGATTTACAATGTACAAAAATGTCCTGAGGAACGCACATATAATCGACGACCGCCCGTCCTTTCACCGAAATGGAAGTGTAATTGTCATGTGAAAATCTATTGTTTAAGACGCAGAATTTTGTGTCATTTAAGAATTCAATAAACGAATGGCCATGCTGATTAACTTTTTTATCTAAAGCAACACGTGGCGGAATAGAGTCACAATCTTCTAGAACGTCAGAGAGACTACAAATTCTTGCATTAAAATCGGCTCCAATAAACATAAAATCACAATTTTCATAAGTATATATTAAAGCTAGTAGGTGCGCGAAAAATGACTGGCTATCGCGTCCCCATACAGAGTTTTCAGGGGGTAGGTAGCATGAGAACACTATCACACTCGTATCAATATCGTGATTATCAAATTTCAAAGCCAATATTCCGTCATATGATTTATCTACTATGCTTATTTCAAAACTATTCAAAACTATAAATATAAATTTATGTATAGTCAAAGATCATATCTGTGAAGTGAATCCCGGATGTCTTTGTTTATTGTAAAATAGAATTTAATATCTCAAAATCATTTGAACTCAAATTTTATTAGTTTAATATTTTCAAACTAGTAGGAAGTAAATTAAAGTCTTCATTTTAATCTAAATTTATCAAATATTGGCAAAGAAATCAATGCAATGACATAAACATACACAATCGGCCATATGTTTAAGTGCATAATAGGTACGCAAAGGATATAAAGGAAGTTTTTCATTGAAATTTAATGTTAAAGCAGCACGCCTCCAGAGTACTGCTTATTTTAAAGAAAATTTTAAATTGAAATAAAAATATGTTTTGAAGTGAACAAAGAAAACCACGGTCCTTAAAGGTCCTTTATGCCTCAGATATACTTAGATTTTCATTTCTCAAAAGCCTACTTTTTGCTGTACTTTAATGGTGCTCAAAAAGTTAATCACTGGCATATCATATGAACTATCTTTTTCATCTGTTGCTTTTTAGCGATAAATACAATTATAGTGAATTAGTACTTTGAATGGAAGTAAAAATACTACTTTTTTACATTTTACAACTTTTTGGACAAATTATATCACATTTATCGCTACTTTCTTCTGGTACCAAAAATCTAACATTATGTTAAAGCATTATTTAAAATAAAATCAAAATCAAATTGTTTCTAAGGCATAATGTACCTCTAAGTAAAGTAAATAACATGTAATAGATATGTTGATATTGTTAAGTAATTATTGTTTGATTTCAATTTGTATAAATGCCTCGTTAAACACTTTATTGTTATTGTTT